GTATGAGAGAGGAACTACAAAGATATGATGCTTACATACGCTTGTGACAGTACATGAAAGAGTTGGTGTGACGGTCATAAAATTATTTATTTAGAAAAAAGTAAAAATATTAAAAGCAAGCTGCTTTATTTACCAAAGTATAATACAGAATTTAAAACATACATATCTACTAAGATATTATCTTTGCGATTTTTTAGCCGCATGAAACTTGCGCTTCCTTTGACTTAAATTGTATGGCCTATACTTAAAACGGCATACCCAAAAATGTTGTATAGATTCAGATTTCTACATTTCGTATAAAGTTTGAAACTCTGATTAATATGGCAGAAAAAACATGTAACTTAAAAAACTTTGTGAATATAAAAAATCAACACGTGAATATTTTATAAGTCACTGTATGTAGTTCAAAGTTTTGGAATTTGTACACTATTGCGAAAAAGTCAGCAACTATCTTCGAAATTTCAAAAAATTTAATCAGCACTTTTAGAAATTTATTTTTAGTTTTATATGTAGCTAATTTAATTTTAGTACAACAAAATGTAAGTTTCAAGTTGCTTCTAATTTCCGTTGAGATACAATTTTTTCTGTGGTCTTCCCCATTCACTTCCATATAAAAACCAGGAATTTTCAGCAACTTCAGAATTTCATTTTGTTATGTTTAAAAAACTATAAAACTTTACCACCCAAACAATTTACCGAAATTTTTGAAATTTTGAAGAAAATTTGCTGACTTTTTCAAAACTTTGTACAAAGCTTGAAACTTTGAATGTGGATTTTTCTTTGGTATGATCCTAAGCATATTGGACAGGGGTATCATTCGAGCATCTGAATTTATTTGTTTTTAATTATTTAACTCTCGTTAAACTGTCAAATAATGTTTATATTTTTAAAAAGAATTCTGAATTGTCAAAATGAATTTACATTGGAACTCTTTTTCACTAAGTGCCGTTTTCACAGTGGGGGGGTTTTTGTACTGAAAACCCATAAAGAAGCCATTGCAAAACAGACTTTTGGAACGTTCGCTAGTTCTGAAGCACAGATGCTGCTTATCGATCCTTGGAAAGGACTGACCGTTGCTGAAATCGAGAAAGAAAGCCGCACCAAACTTTGTTTTCAATTTGAATTTAAAAAACAATTTATACTACTATGACACTTAAAAAGAAAAGAAACAGAATATTTTTTGGCACTTACAAGCAACACCGATTTTGACGTAAATGTGATTTTTGGTCTTATGCTACTACCTGTTTCATATGCCTTGTTGGTATGGACTATGTATCTTTTTATACAAAATTAAAACAATATTATCGAAAAATCACTAATCCAAAATTTTTTTGATTCACTAAAAGCATTATATAAAACAAGTAATTTTTAAGCAAAAAACAAAACCAACTTCAATTCTCATATAAAAATTTAAGATAGTCGTTAATTAAAAACAAGGATTATAGAAATCGGTTAACGTGGTCCAAAGTTAAGCGGTAACATTCACAAAAGAAAAAAAAAACAAAAAAATATTCTGACGAATTGATAACGTCCTCTTTTTTTTTGAAATCGCTTAATAACGACCAATATGTACATGCCGAGCCCTAACCGCCAAAAAACCTCGGCGATTTTTTTTTTTTCAAATTTGTCTTTTTGATGCAGAAATTCATACAGATGCTCTAGGCACAATTCAGCATCAAAAAGAAAATTTTGAAAAAAATGTCACTTACGTATTTTTGTCGGTTAGCGCTCGATATATATTCGTTTATATTTTATTAATCTTTTATAGCCATATTATTAATAATGCCACTCATTTATAAAGTGGCATTTTTACGTTTTAAATCTCTTTGTTAAATTACATTCTACAAAACATGCTTTTGATATTTCTCCATCACAAATTTTTATAATTTTTATAAGCATCTCTTTGAACAAACGTGGATACCTTTAATTTACAATATCAGTACAAATTTTATGTAGTTCAATTTTTGCAATTTCTTTAGCTTCTATCATACAAGCTCATGTAATATAATAATAAAGGTAACCAGAAAGAAATGTTTTTGTTTTTGATCTCAACAAAAAAGTTGTCACTGTGTAACTAAGAGATATTTAAGTATGTAGCAAAAAAAACAGGAATGAGGAAAAACCACAACACGGCCAACTTCTTAAAACAATGTGATTTTTCGTATGTATTGTTTTTTTTTTTGCCAGAAAAATATGCATAAATGTGTTCAAAATCGATTTCTTTATGTTGTTAAAATTGATGTACTTTTGCTCAGCGCATCGGTTGCCTATCAATCTACCCATCTGCTAGCAGCTAGCATGGACACATTTAAATATGAAAATAAACAAACATACGCCCCTGAAATGTTTGGAGCGACAAGTGAGCATTATGTACATATGTACACTAGGGTGGTAAAAAGAGTGTAGAATTCTTGAAAATCAATATTTTACGAGCGGAAAATTCTGTCTCTCATCAGGAGACTTCCAATAATAATACTCAATTGTTTCACATGTTTTTAATACCAACGATTTTTATGGGTCCCGCCGTTGCTTTTTTTGTGGTTTTGGGGCGACTTGTAAATCATAGTTAATGTTAAATTAAAAATTGGTTATTGTTATTTAAAGTCTCCTAAAGAGAGTTTTTCGATCGACGAAATATTGATTTTCAAGAGTTCTATACTATTTTTACGAAAACGTGTAAAATACCTTTAAAACTTGAGGCACTTCTTTTTACAAAAAATACGGGTATTCTTTGTTTCCATTTAGAAAAATCCCAGAGCCCAGCATGGTGCTCCTTCGTTATAGGTTTTTATTATAAATATATTCCGATTCGTGCTGATTGTTTCTGACTCTATACATTAAAGAAAATGATCACATGCTTTTAAGTTAATAAAATTTATGTATAGGGACCCGTGATTTTCCAGTCCGGGGCCCGAGTTTCCTATCGACGGCCCTTTACATTTTAAACTACCACCCACCCCACGCATGTAGTGTTGGACCACCCTAATGCACATACATACACACATATTATTTGTTTCTGTACTTGACGTTTGTTTTTGCTTCAAGGAAAAAAAACCATATGAATTTCCGCTTCTAGGGCTACTTTTACGTGAGCAAAAGCAAGCTATATGCTCTGGGGTATCCTCTTGCAGCCCACGAAAACGGCAGTTTGTCACCTTAGAAGACCCCATTTTACATTGAAGGTACGTTAAGGGCGATTCTGTTATCGTGTCTGCAACTTTAAGACGCACTGGCGCTAACACATACATATACTAGTGTTTGGCCCAGTTGCTCCTCCGATTTGTGGCGTGCGCCATGATGTTGTCACACAAGGGGGAAGGAAGCTTACCACTACACCACAGCGGCCGTGTTTCATAATAAGCATGTTTTATTCAACCATCACAAGCTAATAGATAAATCTGGGTCAAATAAAACGAAATTAGCTTATTTCCTATGTTGGCCTAACAGGACAGTTTTCAACAGACCCTGATAATCTTATGTTCGTTGAAAAGCGGAAGGTTGTGTCTTTTCAAGTCTTCTTCTTCTTATTTGGCGCTGCAACCGCCTAAGCGACTTTGGACGAGTTCAATAAAGCACGCCAGTCGTGTCTCTTCTGCGCCAATTGACGCCCATTGGAAATTCCAAGTAAAGCCAAAACCTACTGCACTTGATCTTTCCAAGGCAGTTGGGGCCTTCCTCTTCCTCTGCTACCACCAGCGGGTTTCGAGTTGAATATTTTCAAAGCTGGACTGTCGGTGCCCATTCAAACGGCATGGCCAAGCCAGCGGAGGCGCTGTATTCTAATTCGCCGCACTATGTCCATGTCATTGTAAATCCCATAAAACTGTGTCTTTCTACTGCTTTTAGGAAATTTATGTTAAGTGGATCACCATTGACTCCGCGAACCAAAAGGACTGAGAAAAAATCCGAAAAATAGTTATGGTGACTTTGTGTTAAAATTACAACCTTTACTTGTATTAAACTCATACCTAAAGCTTTACTTAAAAAAAGGTAGATTTTTCCATCTTCACTAAGCTATAAAGTTTTTTTTTCCGATTTCAAGTCAATTTAGTATAATGTGCTAAGAAAGTTCTTTTAAAAAATGAAATAACGGATTTAAGTTGAATTTTCTGTTAATCATGATTAAAAATACTGTACCTAACATTTAGGGCCGGTTGTTCAATGTCTGGTTATCACTACCACTACACTATCGACGATTTCGACATCATGCATGTAACATGTGATCGATAAAGCAGTAGTTGTGCTTAACCGGAGCTTCTACCTCCGATTTGCGCTAATCAGACATTGAACAACCAGCCCTTAGTGTGACACTCTATTATTTAATTTCTTGTGTTTAGTTCAAACTTTCAATTTGCCTTTGCTCACCTTTGTGAAACTTCGTTTCATTTTATTCTTCCAGAGCTACAGACTAATCACTGTTATCACCGAAAAAAACTGACTTGTTTTAGTTTTTATTTTGTAAATATTTTAAGTCCCACTTAATCGTTTTATATNTTCTACCTCCGATTTGCGCTAATCAGACATTGAACAACCGGCCCTTAGTGTGACACTCTATTATTTAATTTCTTGTGTTTAGTTCAAACTTTCAATTTTCCTTTGCTCACCTTTGTGAAACTTCGTTTCATTTTATTCTTCCAGAGCTACAGACTAATCACTGTTATCACCGAAGAAAACTGACTTGTTTTAGTTTTTATTTTGTAAATATTTTAAGTCCCACTTAATCGTTTTATACTGGACATTACTTGCCAACCTCTATCAACAA